GCGGTAATGAGACCAAAAATAATTAAGACCCATCGAATCCGAATTCGAAGACTTTTTAAGGCCTTATATTAGGAACACGTTATTTAAGACATTTAAGACTTTTTAAGGACCCGCGGACATTGGGTTAAGTCTGTATTTTTGGACAGTAATGTTGATCCAGGATCAACAAAAGATGTTGATCCAGGAATATGTCTTACTTGGCAAAATCACGGCGACCTACGCTCATTTCTATGTCCATTTTGTGCGTACGCAAGGTTTATACATGAGGCCCCGATGTCATTTTCATTTTATAAAGCAGTTTTCACAGACTTTGGTTATTTTGTCTGTATATCAAGTACTTCCTGTTTCTGAAGTCTCTAAAGTTTGACAACAGTTCACAACAAACAAACTTTTAATGATTTTAAATACTGCTTCTGGTAATATTGCTTCATGGTATTTACTGAACTAATTCTTACACTTTCTTCACTTACCTGTGAGTTTATATCAGATGCAATCAATAGTTTGTGTTCAGATAAAATGGTTGTTGTTGCTGTTGAAGAAGCTTCCAGTTCATCTGTTTTTTTAGTTTCACATTCACTTCAGAACATAATTGTGACGTCACTTCCTGTTTGTTGCTGCCGCGTGTTTTGAGTTTGAGCTCTGTCAAGTTAATTCTTTATCGTCTATTTTTTATCTTAAAATCAATTTTATACACAATCATTTTCGTTTCTATAACGTGTGAATATATCCCCTATCGTATTCTACAACAAAAACTATCAGAGCACCTTGTTATCACTAGTTTTATTTTGATTTCCCGAGTCCGCTATTAGCATTGTAAGGAAAGTATTTTCCTTTAGTGTCACTTTAATATTTTAACACTAGAGGGCGCATATCCTTCATTTTACTGATACCTATACACTTTCCCTTTAAGACACCGCGCTTTGTACACCACACGCGCTGGGTCACAGTGAGCATCCGAACTTTAAAGTTGTGTGCGTTCATGCAGAAAATTAAGTTTATTTTGCCTTCTCTAGCAGAAACATGCATGTCAATAATGTTGATGTTATTGTGATGATGTTGTTAATCTTGTAAGCGCATATTTGCACAGTATTATGTTATTTGTTAATCTACGTTAGGAAGCTAACATGCTAGTTTCACGTGCAATAGTGCATTGTTATTTAACATAAATCTTGATCTGTTAGCCATTTTAAGATAGTTTGAGATGCTACACTATCATAATTATGAATTTGTAAGAGAATTTCAGACCATTGATGATTATTTATCTGTTTATGTTCAGAATGTAAATGTTT